CATAGATTCCTCCTGGTCAGGTGGCCTGTAATAGATCGCCACTCTAATGTCCCCCATTGCTGTTTTTCCTTTGACCCTGATCCATAAGCTCTCTGTTACCTCCTCACCTATCCCCAGACAGAATTCCATACTCTCCAGCCTATCACTGACATAAATAGCAACTCCCCCCCCTCCATCTGCCAGGCCTGTCTTTTCTAAAGAGCCAGTAACCTTCCATTCCGACACTCCAGTCACAGGAATCATCCCACCATGTTTCTGTGATACGAATGATGTCGTAACCCTGAAGCCTTGTACACATCTCCAATTCCTCTTGTTTATTTCCCATACTACGGGTGTTTGTATAGAGGCATCTGAGCCGAGCTCCAAATGAGGCCAACTCAATGGTTGGAGCAGCTGAAATACCTCTGCATTGCTCAAAGCACTTATTACAGGTGCTGGCAACCGACCGGGAGTGTTGGGATGTGGTTGTAAAACAAACTTGGCATTTATTGAGCAGATTGTTAGGGAAGCTTATTATTTTATAATAAGCCTTGGTGAATCAGATCATTATCAAGGTCCTCAAGTCATTTCAGATGCTCAGAACAGGAATGATTTTGGTCTTGTTTCAGACGGGAAGTAGCAAGAGTAGCTAAATTGCAGTTTAAGACTTGGAGTTCCACCTGCTCCCTTCATGAGAAAGGTTGTTCTTCATTCTGAATTACAGGCACATACGAAAGTTCTAAACCTTAAGTTTAGTGTCTTTTCTTTGAAAAGAGACTCTAATTTGCAAGACTGATTATGCTTCATGTTGCTTGATTTATGTCTTGATAGGTCACAAATACAGTAAGTAATTAGATTTGAGATTGGCAACAACTATTGGGATTATCTTTTCTAGCCTTAATGGCTGCCCGAAGTTATTCACTGGAGCTTTTCAATATCTGCTATTTATCATTAGAACCTGCAAATATGTGTATATGAAATATATTTATAAAAATACACAAGTATGCTGAAATTAGTGTCTGAAAGAACCCCTTTAATGCTGAATGTTGCAGAAGGGTATTACTGGATAAAAGCTTAACATAAAGGGATCTGCTTCAATACTAGCTCCTGGTCTTAACCTTTACCTTTCCAGGCCACATTCTTAAAACTGCTTCAGGTAATGAAAGGCTACGTGACAGGGTGTTAATATTGATAGCGAGTGATGGAAATCTTAGACATGTTCCTTTGGGGATGAAGGCTTTATAAGAAAGAATAAGGATTGAATTATACATGAAATCACACACCATTGTTATCTACGGATGTATCAGATGATGTCTGCATGATTTTTTTAAGAATGAGAGCATTTGGGTTATGTATTTTAACTAATCAGTCTGTAGGCTGTGTCAGAAGAAGGATGCTCAGATATGTAAAATGTGATCTGCTAATGATTTCTCAGAAGAAAATCTGTTCAGGACAGCAAATGCAAATATGTGATCTTCTGGCTTCTTCCAGTATGTTGCTTTCTGAATCGGGTAGGGCTGCCTTTGTACAGACATGGCTGGTACAGTTCACAGTAGTCCGTGTAATAGCTTCGGCTTCTGTACCTGCTTTTCAGCTGCAGTGCAAGTCAGAAGCTCTGCAGACTGTAAAATTGAATAAGATGTATTTATTCAGATATTTTTATGCACTAATTACAGGTGCAGAATGAGGCAATCCAGGAACCTAGGCATGCTATGTCATGAACTATCCTGCCTCTGTTCTCAAATCTGCTTCAGTCAAGACTCATACACAACTTCGTTGGTGGTTTAAACTAAACTGCCTGAGTTTGCTGTAAGTGGATTAGGGAAGGCTTATGATTTCTTTTTGCTGTCACAACAGTGGAGGTGGCAACAACTGATGAAAGGAGTATCCAACAGTTTGTAGCAGCAGTGTCTTCATTTTGGTGTAACTCCATCCAAGATGCATATCAAATGTAGCTACCTTGGCACCAGATTAGACTAAACTAATGTAATTTGACTGGGTGTATATTCTTGAATTCCTGTTATGTGAATTTATAGAATAATTTAGGTGGGAAAAAACCCATAAGATCATTGAGTCCAACCTTAGATGGACTTGAATTTAGTGGTAGGTGCAATTGTGTATGTTTAGCCACTTCTATATATTCCATTTCTGTATTGCTTCTCAATTTAATTCTCTCTTGTGAATATGTTTAGCATGTCATTATGTGGAAGGTGGCATTGTTGTAGGACACAACAGTGTGTCCTGCCCCTGGAAAACCTGCACTGAATTAATAATTGTTTTTCCAGTAGCGTTAACATCTTTGTGTTCTGATTACTTGACCAGTGCAATAGTTTGGTCTCTATTCAGCTGGATTTGGACAAAGTCCTTTGTGAAGCCCTCTGCTGTTTTGTAGCGCAGCTCTGAATTTAAGTACAATGTGTTTCTTCCTAGACTCGCTGTCCTAGGCCCACATTATTTCTACTTCAGGACAGTGCAGTTGCAAATATGCCATTTAGAGACCTTTTTGTAATTTTGAGCTTGGTAACCACTGGATACTGCAGCAGTGCATTCAGAACAAGATACTCTGTTATTTCAGTAAACTGGAAATATTTCTTGATATTTTTTTATTTGACCATATAAATTACTGAAGAAATGCTGTGTTCCTCAAATGCTCTTATTTTCCCTGTCTGTTTTCTTTGGTTATGCTTTTCTGTTAAAGTGGCATTATGGTTGGGGGATCTTGAAGGACTAAAATGTATTTTCAAGTAGTATAGCCAAGGCTATTTTATTTTTCCCCGGGATAACAGACCTCAGTACATTTATCTATAATGGCTTGCTGGAGAAAATACTTCAAGTGAAGGGTTCCTCTGAAGTCAGATTCAGCCTCATTGGATTTGGTCCTCCAAAGGAATAGAGTCTGTCCTTTACTCATCAATTGTCAAAGCAGATTTTTCATTAAACCCTCTTCACAGGCCCTGATCTGATTTTCAAGCTTAAAATAGATGTGTTCAGTGGTTCATTCCTTTTCAGTGTTCTTACGGCATTTCAAGCATCATTCTAGATGAAGCTTGAATGAGGGAACCTTCTACCGTAAGCAGCTTTCTACCCAGTTAAGATCTAGTTTGTATTTTAGACATGCAATTTGAATGAAGTTTTTTTCCTATTTCTTAAATCGAGTGGTGACAGTGAACCTTTGGTGTCTGGTGCCAAATATATCTACAGAAAAAGACCCAAATGTTTCTTCTTGCTAGAAATAGCAAGATCTTCCTGGGTGTTAAATGGGAGACTGATGCTTGTACATTGTCACTGATACAGAATCTTTAGCATGTTCTTAACTTCTGCAGTTCCTCACACATGGCACTGGATTTAGAAGGAGTTCTGCTATAAATGTCACGCTTAAAAAGGGGCAACCAAGAAGTGCCACTAACTTGATCAAAATACAGTGCCATACAAACTTCTGGAATCCTCTATGATAGATTTGACGAACTGGTTTATCCTGCGGAGCTAAATAATTGGTATGAGCTCGTTTATCAATCTGTAGTTTTGATAAGGTTAAGTAGGGGTTAATGATGTAAGTATACCTGGCCCTATGAAGATAATGTGGTTGCACAAGTGGAATTTTAAGCTGAATTTGGCCTGCAGAAACTCTACTGGTAAGTGAGATGTGATGCTTTAAGCTTGGTAGGTTCCCTCTTCAAAGACGGCTCTAAGAGCTTTAAACTGATCTGTATTTTCTGTTTCTTTCATGCACTGATACACCGGTATTTAAAAGTGGTAAATTAAATGCGTAATGTTAAGTGTCATTCATAAAGTTAGCTTCTTCTATTGTGACAGGCACACTTAGTTGTTCCTGACGTGAGTAGGATGGGCTAACCAGTTTAAATAGAGTTAAGCTGTATTGTTAAGGCTTCTGAGCTGTAAGTATGAATAATTTTCTGGTTACTGATATTAAAAAAAGATGATCTGATGACTGTCACATTATTTCAGGAAACGACGTTGGCAGAAGTTCTTACGGTGCCATGCAAGTGAAACAAGTTTTTGATTATGCCTACATTGTTCTTAGCCATGCAGTATCACCACTTGCAAGATCATATCCAAATAGAGATTCTGAGAGGTAATTAGTCCACTTTTTGAATATCCATTTGTCTGTATAATCAATTAGGAATGTTTGGGTCTAAATCAATAAAAGTAATACTGTTATTCTTTAACTGTGGCTGTATTAAAATCTGCCCAGGAGTTCAGGCTGCCTGGTGGTATGAGAGTGGTGTAATACCTCAGTGTACAGCACAGAAATTAAGACAGGCTGACAAAACCCAAGATGTGTCTAATGTGAGGTTCTCTTAGTGTGGAAGGGATCCAGAAGATAATCGGTCTTTCCTCAAACGTTCTGCTTAAAGTGTTTCAAAAGAAGGTCTGCTGGTTTAATGTTTGGAATGATGTATGTCTGTACTATGGCAGAAAGAAATGTGTGTGGTCAGACTCCTTGTTCAGACACAAAACTAGGCAAGGGTAGAAGTTTCTCTAATTCTGTAACACATGCTCCCATAAGCTGTTTTAAGAGGCTAAATATTAAGCTTTGAAAAGAATCAGTTTGGCCATAATATCAGAACTGCCATTAAAAGTAGCATACTTCTAGACATGCTGTTTTTAATGCAATTCTTAAGGTCTTTCATAGAAACACTGTACAGCTTGTACTTTCTCAGCTGTCAACATTTGCATGTTGGGGTTTTTTTAGTTTTTTTTTTTTTTTTTTTGAAAGGAGGAGGAGAAATAAATGGAGGTGTGTCAGCCATGTTGTGTTTGCATTCCATCTGCTCTGGCATCTGTTACACTAACTCTCAGTACAAACGGGCTAGATTGGCGGATGTCTCTTCCCCAAGACTTCCCTAGAATCCCAATGGCTTTGAGCTCCCCAGCTAATTGCAGGGAGGGATGGCTATAACAAGTCATATAATCCATCTAGATACAATTCCAAGGTCTAGTCAAGCTGTTAACTTTCAGGGCGTTAATGTCACTGGAAGGCAAAGTAGTTCTCCTGTAGTAGGTTTACCACAAAGTAGATTCAGTCTTTCACTTGTGGATTTAGAACTGGCAGTATTCATGGCAATAGTGCCCATGAATTTCCAGACTTTCTGTGGCTTTAAATTCCCAAAGATTAAAGCTTGACTTGTGCCTGTGATGGAGATAGAGGAAGAGTGGTACGTAGTGTTACACAATGACATTTTAGACTGCTGTTTTAAGACAGATAAAAGGTATAACTGTTAAATGTGTACTGGTTGACAGTTCTTGGTACTGAATGAAATTTCCTTCATGCAAAAGTATAGATAGAACAACTTAGGGATTCCTGAAATTTTGCTTGTGTCTTGGTTCCTGGCCTTCATTAACTTCTCTGTAGTTCTCCAAATGATATAGTAATTCTCTGAGATACAGACATCAAAAAGTATATTTGTAAAATGCATTTAATGGAAGCCTCAGATGTCTTCAGTATGTGCACTTCACATGTACACTTCTTACTGTATTTAGGAAAATGCTTGAATTTTGTCACAACTTCAAACCTAGGGAGAAGTCCCAGCAACAGTGTTCAGGTGTTCTACATCTGACCTGTCTGCCACTTCTGGGCTATCTGTGCCAGTGATGTCTGAGTCTTTGGAGCTCGTCATGCCAGTGGCTTGCTATTCTGTCAAAGGGAGTGGTGTGGCAAGAGGAACAGCACTCAACAGTCCTGTAGGTGGATGATGAGCTGTTTGATAACAATTTTGTTGCAGAACCTCAACAGCAGCCCATGGTCAGTGTCAGTTTTTATTTCATGTGCTTTGGTTATCCAGGTATATTTCAGATCCTTTTTCTACCTGTTAGGCAGAATGGTCCAGGCTCTGCATAAAGACTTTTCTCGTGGCCTGACTTAAAGAGCCTCAGCCATCCAGAAGCCCTTTGTCCTGATCCATTTTTTTTTTCCCTTTCTCGTGGTAGCTTTCCCTTGTTAGTGGTAGGTTAGCGTAAACAATGGGCTCCCTTTAAAAGCTGTGACTAGCTGTATGACATTCTACTAGAAGGATCAACAGAGACCAAGCGAAGAGCACTTGAAAGGCTAGGAACTTGCAGGAGGCTGAACTTCCCAGGCTGCCTTGAGTTTATTCAGTTCTGTCATAACTGGGGCTGGCTTTCCCCTAAGTGGAACGGTTTGTTCATGAACTACATGGTGGGTTTGAATTCCTATCTGCTCTTTCCAGGGAGAATTGCTGTGTATAGAATCCTGTTTTGTAGATAACAGTCTCAGTAGATTTCAAATCTTTATAGGTGATCATTGTTACCTTTCTTCTCTAGGGATGGTCCAACTCAAAGGAGCACAAGCCTAAGTTAATTTAAGGTTTTCTAGCTAGCTGCTGATTCTGATATTCCCAGTGTAGAAAAAAGTCAGATTTTGGTCCTTCAGCATAGGCCTTTTTCTTGCCCATGTTCTGTAGTAACAAGTCCCACAGAATTGTAAAGGGTAGATTCAAATCACTCTTACCAGCATCTTCATTTGGGCTTCCAAATATGGTATCTGGAATGCAATGGGGATTGAAAACTGTTTTCTGTCTGGGTAGAAACAGCAATTAGCTGAGTCCCGAAGGTAATTCTTTCAGCTACAGAAATTTCCTTAACACTGTTTTGTCTCCAGCCTATCTCACCCATACTCCAAGATCAGCTCAGAAGAGGTTGATGAATAGTTCAGTAGATCTTATTAGAGCAAGCAAATTCCCATCTGATAAGCAGATCAGAAGCAAGAGAAGCATCAGAAGTTCACATTTTAGGGAAGATGGAGACCATTTGACAATCATAAGTTATGCTGACCTGGATGTAACAAAGATGCATCCTTAGGTGTTACATATATCTGTAGATCAGGATGTTGACTTACATGCTGGCTCACTGCATGGTTCAGATACAAATGTGTGCTCAGACTGCATCTCTAAACAGCAATGTAGCCACATTTGGGAGGGAGAAGAGGTCCTGTGACATGGGGAATTTAAGACTGGTTCTGCTGTGAAATGCACTTTCAGTTGTAACTTAAGACTTTAGAATCCTTGCTTTTTTTCCTAGAGTTGCAGATTGGTACTAGGTTCTTCTTTATTGGTACCATATGTGGTGCAGGTGGATGAGGGAAATGGACTGTCATGCCACAAGCCAGAGTTTGAGGCAGCCTTGGCAGGGTTTTGCTACTGCATGACTGGAGTTGTCATTTACAAGTGATAATCTTCAAAACAACAATAGTCTGGGCCATATATAAAGTGAGCTTTCCCTCTCCCTGCTTGAAATCTGTTTGGTCTTTTCCTAGTGTACAGTTCAGCTGATCTAACTGCTGGCAGGTCTGTATCTTAGGTTTGGCTTGCCCTGGCTTGGCCAAGACAGTGCTGGGGAGGTGTCAAAGGGAGTGTTAAATTTTCCTGCTAGATCTGCTGACACAGAAAACAGAAATGTGCTGTCTGAAACAGTCCTCCTGCTTCACATCTTGAATGGTGGGTGGGTGGCTGTCACTAGAATGCATGCAGTCTCTTAAGAAGTATCAGCAATATCAGCTTTTCCTGTGCAGAGTATTTGTCTGGGTAAAGGTTTCAGTGTTGTGGGGTTTTTTGGGGGGTGGGATGTTTGGGTTTTTTTTATGCTCATGCTTCTTGTTCTGCTTTTAGATTATATTGTCCTTTTAATACCAGGGATGTATTTTGTAGGCTCAGTTAAGGCCTACTGAACAGTTACTTTGACTGTTCTTTTACAGACTATGGGGTTTTTATTCCTGCTCTGGTACTCACTCATTCATTTGGAACTTGAATGGAGATTTAGGTATTTGATTTTACTGAATCTTATTTCAGCAATCTGAGCCTATTATAAGATTTATTTGCACTGTAGTTGTGCTGTAATGACAGCTAGAAAGTTTCCCAATGAACTGAAGGCTTGCAATGTGTAAAAAGAGGAGCATCTAAACTCTTATCATAAAATAATTGAGTTATGTAAATAGCTTATTCCTGACTTTACTATATGGTAATATTAAGGGAAAAACCTTAGAGGGGTACCTTTCATAGGAGAGCTGTGTAATTTTAGGAACCAGTTAACTGGATAACCACATCTTCCAAACAAGAAGAGTTGTGGGAGTGTCCCATATTTCTGTAGAAATTCTGGCCTCAGCCAAAAAAAACCAACCCAAAAGAATTCCATTATACTAGAGGTGGGGTAGAGTAATCTGTTTTTTGTTCTAGACATTTGCAGTTTGAAAAAAAAAAACCACCACAATTTCTAAATGTTTATTTAAAAAAAAAAAAAACCCACCACAAAACCTCCCACTGTTTTTTGACCTTGCGGATGTGCTTGGGTCGCATACATATGAAATGGTGTACATGAGAGCAGCATCTGCTCGATCACTTGCTTCCTCTTTGTTGCTGTATTAAGTATGTGGCAGTATATTAAGTATATTATACTGCTATATTAAGGCAGTATAGCCTTAATTACCTTTAAGTTTCTTCTGTCTCATAACGAATGTTTCTAATTCTGGCATACAAGCAACATAGCATGGATCTGCCTTAGAACTCCTGAGCTGATAACTTGGCAAATTTCTCTTTTTTTCTAGAATTTTTATCTTACCTGTTTTGATAAAATGAGAGGCTGGGGCTTTGATCTCTATTGTCTGTGAAAGAAGAGATTTGTTTCTGGGAAAGCATTCCAAGAAGCTTCAGACTTGACAGACTCCTTCTCCATAAAAGCTTGTGTTATTCCATGTTCATTTTCTGGTTCTAAGAACACAGCTGGTAGTAGTTGGGAAATGTGTAAGTTATTCTGCAGTAAAAGCTCAAATCTTTCTGAAGGCATTCTCAGTTGAAACTTTTCAGCTGCAAGATTTCCTTCTCTGTCCTGGTACTGAAGAGACCCAGCCTGTCTATGTTTGAGTCCCATACTGGCATTACTGTGTTCAGGGCCTGAAACTGTGGCTTCCAAGGGCCACAGCTGATCTCTGCAGTATTGGTCATCCCTGTCTTCGTTCTGTCTCCTCTGGCTTAACTTCCATTATTGAGTATTTAAAATGCTGTTCTATCGTGGAGTGTACATTAACAAAATACTGTCCTCTTTTACTTGTTCCTTTCTTAGTGTGCTCTATTTAGCTATGGAACTGTGGTGTCCGAAGAGTTACCTATTACAACCCAGATCTTTAGTTGCTGGGTGGTGACAATCATGCCTTTAATTCTGCATGTGAAATTCAAGACTTTCTTATCCAACATGCATCATTTTATCTACATTACATAAATAGAATGATAGATGACATTCATTCTGTCCATGAGGGGGCCCTTCTGCAGCTATTGGATTTGTAACTTATAAGCAAATATCGAATCAATAATATTACAATGCTGGACTGCCTGTTTCAATAATAACATACTGACATATCTTTAAAGGTGGAAGACTAAACATGGAACATGTGGTATTTGGTCTTGCATGAAATAATAATCTCTAAGACAGTAGGAGAATTATTGCTCCTTTTTAAAATAACCTAATAAAGGTAGTCTAAATAAATTTAGGTGGTGTGTGTCCTGCTGTTCCCTTATATACCTAAACCAAAAGAAAAGTCCAGTTCAGATACTGTGTACCTTTATGATGTGAAATACAAAATAAGCTTTACTATAACCACTGAAGATTTTCAAAACTAAAATAATACCAACTTCTCCAAGATGGTAACTTTTCACAGCCCAGTTTTGTACAATAGTCAGTCCTTCATGTATCTTGAGTATGGAGTTCAGTGTTTCAGACACTAGTCCCTGATGAAAGGAAAGCTTGAAAGTTTAGCACTCAAGGACACAACTCCTGCTCAAGTAGAAGTGTAATTCAAATAGCTGAATGTTGGGAAGGCATGTTGGAAAAACATTGTTTTGTACTTGTTTGTGACTGGTCACTGT